TACACTCAAAATAGATTAAAGACTTAAAATGTTAGATTTGAAACCATAAAGTCTTAGAATAAAACATAGGCAGTAAAATCTTGGATATTACACATAACAATATATTTTCTGACATATCTCCTTGGGCAAGGGAAAGAAAAAAACTAAACAAATGGGACTACATCAAACTAAAAAGGTTTTGCACAGTGAAGAAAACTGCCAACAAAACAAAAAGGCAACCTACTGAATGGAAAAGATATTTACCAATGATACATCAAATAGGGAGTTAATATGCAAAACTATATTAGTAACCCACACAACCTAACACCAAAAAAACAAACAATGCGATTAAGAAGTGAGCAGATAATTTCAATAGCCATTTCTCCAAAAAGGACATACAGTCGGCCAGCCAGTAGACATATAAAAAGATGATCAGCGGGGGGAAAAAATGGACACATATGTAATACCCTTTGTAATAAATAATAAAATTAAAAAAAAAAGAAATAGAAAAATACATTAATAAATCTTTAGTAAGCATCATAAGGCTAAAAGAGTCAGAAAATTACATAACTGAACATGATATAACTTATTCATGATAAGTAGGATTTACTTCCAAAGATGCTTTAAAAAATAATCTAGTCCATCCCTAGTTTTCTTACACTCATAATCTTCTTATTATACACTCCGAAAATCTTTTCAAAGCTGACTACTCATGAGTGAATAGTCCTTAGTAGACCATCATATTCATCTTATCTGTGTCTTTGTACTTCAATGTTAGATTTATTATAATTAGATGAAAAGTATGACTTTCTGCTTCATATGATCTGACTAAACTGTATCATATTGAAGAAAAATGAAAAATTTAAATGTTCAAAGGCCAAATCATTTGAAAAAGGAAGATTATTCTTCAATTGTGGTTCATTTTTAAGTGCTGGGTTATGGCCTTGATAACATCAGTGAAGTCACTAAAATCCTTTTTAAAGTATATAAAGTATTTAGAAAAGAAGAAAGGCAAACAAAACCACAAAATAATTCATGTTAATAACTTCATACACAGATCCTAGGGAGACTTGCAAGGCTGACTTCTGCTTTATGTCACTTATCCATGTTTGGGTTTTTAATGAGACTAAAAATAATTTACTAAGCCTACATTTGCTTAATCAGTGCTTCAAGTCAGCAAGTACTTAAATACTGAGAGACATTATTTTTTACATAAAAGTTTCTCAACTTATAAAACATTTTCTATTGACAGATAAGGCATAGAAAAATGCTAATGACATCTGCTAAGCTTTACTTATGAAAACTTAAAGAAATCCTATGGGATAACATCACTCCATTTTTCTTGGAGTACCTCTGATGGAGACTTCCTAAAAAAAAGTCTGGAAATAATTAGAAACTATTACAGTACCTAGAAAAGTTTACTTGAAAACTAAATCTGCTATTCATCAAAGAACACAACACAATCAGAACACAATGTAAAATAAGGTGCACATATAAGATAATCCTGATTTTATAAACTTAAAACAAGTTTAGAGAAGACAGCATTAGACCAGTGATATACTGTAGAAACATCATATTTAAATTACTAAACACTGATTTTTTCCAAAATAATATCTATCTTGATTTTTTTTATTTTACAAATGACAGAAAATCATTTTTTCAAAAGATGCTAAGTACAACTTTAATACAAATTAAAAGAGAGTAAGAATAGTCAATTATTAATATTTAATTTTGTGTCCTAAATATTACATGGAAAAGCAAATTATCCAAAACACAGTAAAAAATGTTTTGGGTATTTCTGGAAAAATAAATGCAATGCTAAGAGCTTTGTAAAGTATAAAATATGTTTTCTACAGAGACCAAAAATTCCACTGGTGGGGGTGGGGGGAGGGTAGACTGGATGGCATGTCCTTTGGAGCTGAAAAGGCTATCCACATGAACTGAATTATTCTTGACAAGTACCTTCAGACACTTGTAATGTGATCTCATGTAAATTCAGACCATATTTTGCACACAAGCCACTGGTAATAGTAAGTTTAATCAGGAGCTCAGATAAGAAGGAAAGAAAACTAATATCCTTAATTATCAGAGTAGTTAACATGAAATTTCCCAAATGGAAAGCACAAAAAATAAAAGCATTTAATGTGTTGTAGCAAATAAAAGAAAAGGGTTGCAAGAAATATTACATTTTCCTTTCCTTTTTCAACCCTTAGCTACCCATTCTCAACAAAATTTTATTCTTCAGTGGTTTATAAATTTGGAAAAAAGTAAAGCACATTTTAAGCAAATAAATAAACTGGAATATTCAATTAGCATTAAAAGTTTATTTTAACCAAGAATTAAATCACAGTGTGGATAACATCTTAGCTGTAATTCCTAATCACCCTGCTTCGTCTGGAAGGTCATCCGGACAGTTGGCCGGAAGGATGTCCAGGCGGTCATTCTGCTATTTGGTCTAATTAGCATATTAGCTCTTTATTATATAGGATATTATTCATTCATATTTTAAAATATTTTATTAGTAGTAATAACTGCTCATCATAATAACATGGAAATATCAATACTTAAAAGAGGCGATTGTAAAATAAAATGTAAGTACAACTCAGAACTCTGCAGCTTAAAAGATTTCTTAGGATTGCCTTCTGCCTTGCCGCAAACACAGCCTACAGAACTATGCTAATTCTACAGGGATCAGCTCCATTGTTCAAGAGATGCATTAAGGCCTGTAGAAGAGAACCCAGCTTTGGAGCGTGCTATGCCAAGCAATCTCCCACAGCAGCATTAACTATATTTATTTCTCTTCATCAGAAGTCTGCTACTGCTATGGGATGCCCTGCTAATGGGTGAAACTAGAATATAAATCATGTTGAATTTGACTAGTAAAGAACAATGACAGATTATTTTTAGAAACTTTTAAGGCATCCATTTTCTTGTGTCTTTAAAACCAAGGTTTTCTATACATCCATGGAACAATTAATGACTACAACGATGGTTGATGGTTTTATAATTTTGAAGTAGAATATAAACTTCTCCCACCTGAATTGTAAAAAGAGAAATTACTCATCTGCTTCTTTAAAAATATTTTGTGAAAAGCAACATTTGAGCTTAAGAGAAAATAATACAGATGGAGCTTTTATAAAAAACAAACATACATTTCTAAGTCACTTCCATGAGGTGTATTTAATCAATTAACCACTTGAAATATTTAAATGCACTTTGAATTATTTTTAAAATCACCTTAAAAATCAAACTGAGAGACATGCTTATAATTGCTTTGCTGAAACACGGAAAGAAAGTGCACAGCATAGAGAGCTTGAATTTCTCACTCTTCCTTTCAATCAATATCTGAGGCAAAGTTTCATCTCTAGGGCCTTTAATGGCAGGAATTCCTGGAGCCAGCAAATGAGTAATGTTAAACCTATGATTAGATGATGAGGCCATCAAAGACACTAGACCCTAATGCTACACTCCTCTTTATTTCTCTCAACTGCAGTGAAAACCAGCAGCTAAGGAAAAAGGAATTTAAAGCTATTTTTTTCATAAAAGCATTTTTTTTTAATGTGCATCATTAGGATCCTAAAAGGTCCAGATAAATCTCTCAGAATGTCTCTCGAACTCAGGACTCGGATATTAGGTAACAATTTTCAAATGCCTTGAAGATGAACTCCTGCTCGGGATGCTGTTTTCTTTAATGTCTTTTTAAAATTCTTGCTGGCTGAAAAGGGGGAAATGGACCTAATGATTTCCCTATGACCATATTCTTGAAGAAAGTAAACCTGAAGAATGGAAATCAATCGGTAAGTTGTTGGTTTATTTTTGCTGATGTTTTACAGGATCTACTGAAGCCATATTGTTTTTTTATTTGGGAGTCAGCTTTTAGGCAACCCTCTGGTCAGTAACTAGAAACTGTTTAATTATACTTTACTTTTGTTGAGGAAACTAGGAATAAATGTAATAATACTTATTAAAAAACATAAATAACCTCTTTTCTCATTCTCATATTACAAAATATGTATACTTAAATAAAAATCAGAATCACAAACATACTTGAAAGAGCTGGTGAGAAGAAAGACCATTAGGTACCCAATTTAGGTATCAGAAAAATGTAATATATATATGCTTAATTTTATTATAATTGCTAGGAAGAAAAAATATCCAACAATTACTATTCTATTTTTAATTTTGATTACTAAAGAAAAGGGCAAGTAGATTTGTAGAATTTACACTGAAATATACAAATTCCACTTAAAAAAAGAAAAGAGAAAGGTATCACATCAAAGACAACCCACTGATGAGCTGCATTTATACTTTGGCTATTGCATAAGAAAAAAAAACTTAATTTCCATTATCTCGAATCTAACAGAGAAGAAATCATGTAATTAATAATAAAAATTAAAATGATAAATTTTATTGTATCATCTTTAAAAGATGGGATATAAAAAGGTAAATAACAAGTTTTGTATATATATATATGGGGATAAAAAGATAGGGAACAATAGCAGGATAGGAAGGGTGGGAAAGAATAAGAAAGCTACAGAGAGTAGAAGAAGGGGGAGGGAGACTTTTTCAATATTTACATGGTAAGATCATCTACATATAAGTATACTCAATATAAATTACTTTTTTCATCTATGAGATGATAGATGAAAGTTTAAAATATGTAAACATATACATATATATGCATAATCATTCTATTGTTAGAGACATACAAAAAAATCAAGTGAATGAGATTTCATACCTGAGAACAAAGCAGCATAACAAGCTCAACCACAGAAGTACTGGACTTCATACAAACAAGGCCTATAATAAAGAAGGGTTTAAAATAAATGAAAGTACAATGGTAGACACATTATCATTCCAAGTTAATTCATTTTTTACTTTTAACTTTAGAACTCCTAAAATAACATAAATGGACACATTCACTAACATATACTTTATTGAATTTATTAGGGTGACATTGGTTAATAAAATTACTTAGGTTTCAGGTAAACAATTCTATAATACATCATTTGTATTTTGCATTGTGTGTTTACCCCCCAATTCAAGTTTCCTTCCTTCACCACTTATCTCGCGTTTACCATTGACATATTTTATAGCATTAATTTTTAAATATTCAGGTATTCACGATGTAAAAAATACTAAAAATTGACTTCATGTTTGGGTTATTTGGTCAAGGCATTTCTTATATTTAAATAAGGTGGGAATAGTTATCAAAATTGATGAGGTAGTTAGACCTACTTTCATTACAATGACATTTGTTATGTGATTCTTTCTTGAAGCACAGAACAATAATCATTGAAGATCTACCTAAATTTTCTTCCAAAAAGAAAAATTAAAATAATTTGCAAATAGGTAATTCTGCATTGGTTGTCAGTTGTTAAATAATTTTAAATATATTGGAAATGGAATTTTACACAATTAACATATAAAACAACACTTATAAAATCTTCCAGTGTTCTGCTTCCAAAGTCTCTGAACAGATATCGGGGGAGGGAGAAAAATTAAATATTTATGAAATAATAGCTACTATTCATTGATCACTTACTATGTGATGGGCACTATGTGTTAAGTGCCTTAGGTGCATGGTCTCATTTAATTTTCATTTAAACTCTGTTATATACTATTTTTATTCTCATTCCATAGGCAAGAAAATATTATTCCTATAAACATTAACTAATCATCCATACTTTTTCCAATAACAATGATAACTGCTGTATAACATGTAACAAAGCAGATCACGATTGGTACTTTTTAAAAGTGTCAACAAGAAGATTAACCAAGAAGTAACCTCTGGATGAGAGTATACTAATAATGATGATACTAATTAGTAACTTACAATATACTTTTACAAGTTTGTCACTGCTTTTTTAAAAATTAACTTGTTAGTTTTTTCTTTCTTTTTACATGAGGACAAATGTAATCATTAAAAGCTTTTTACAGTAAGAAATGCCATCGTCTTACATTAGTGGTGGCTAAATGGAGACTTGAAGCAAAACCAGTAATTTTTGTCTTCTCAAGGCAGTGATGGCGAACCTTTTGAGCTCGACGTGTCAGCATTTTGAAAAACCCTAACTTAACTCTGGTGCCGTGTCACATATAGAAAGTTTTTGATCTTTGCATACATAGTAAAACAAAGATTTATATTTCTGATATTTATTTTATATATTTAAATGCCATTTAACAAAGAAAAATCAACCAAAAATATGAGTTCGCATGTCACCTCTGACATGCGTGTCATAGGTTTGCCATCACTGTCTTAAGGTGATTTCAATTAACAGTTTCAATTGCTTTCTAGACACTAGCATATATATTTGTTGTACGCGTGATAAATACCATTTTGTGTCCACTCTGCTGATGACCCTACCCTTATTGTACAGATAGAACAAGCTGCAAAATAGTGCTAGTATTCCATCTTATCAGATCTTTGGGAAGACAGTTAACTAATGAAATAAGAGGCAGATGGGAAAAGGTCATTTAAGAGACAATTGGCATAACTGATCAGCAATTCTCATGCTCAGGAGCTAGAGCAGAAAGAATCTAAATGGGACATTTATTACCTGTTGCCCACTCAACTATTTGAAATTCTGACACAGAAAAACTAAGTAAAAGGCCAAAGGACTATGCATAGCAAGAAGATCATAATTAAGATATGTACTGCATATGAATTTAGATTTAAACTGTAAGGCTATATAAAGAATGATTAGACTACAAGGCTATTTGAAGTGGCTATAAAAAGAATCAGTCACCATATATGTTATGTGTGTTAAGAGTTTTTAAATACATAACAACTTGAAGTAAAAATTAGGAAAAACATGCAGTTACATTCATTTTTCACAGACTAATGTTTTAAATGAACAGTCAAAATAAAATCTCCATGTAACAAAAACATTCATAATTTTTACAAGTACTATCATAAGAAAAATACAAACAAATGCTCAATCAATACTTTGTTCCAAGGAAATTATAACAAATGGATAGAAAAATTGCAGATTATAAACAGTACTCTCAGTATTTTGAAAAAGGCCACTGTGATTTCAACTCCACAGACACTCACACCTTTACTAAACTAATATGTTGTCTAATTAGTTTTAAACAATATTAATTAATGGATTCTCTTCAAAAGAAAAACAAAACACTAACCTTGACAATGAGAACACAGTAGAGGCAATTTTGGAAGACTTATCAACCTCCAAAAATTATATAATCACTTTGGTTGCAACTATTTCTAAGTGTTAAAAAAAGTATTATTAAAAAAAACCAGGTAAACTTCAATTTTTTTTAGTGATATTGAAAATAAAGCAGTCTGATAACACTCTGTCCTTGTATACTTTCTAAATAAAAAAACACATTCATATTTACAAATGTAGAGATGTAATTATAAAAATGGTTTTGTATAACTTTAGTCATAAGCTCAAATAGCCAAATTTCCTAATGATGCTAAAAATAACTGGCTATAAATGGATAAAGCATATATCTTATAAGTGTGTGTCTTAAACAGGTTGAGTTTTTCCTTTTTTGGCTTTGGCAAAGATTTCATAATCAAATTCACTTTTTTGATATTTCCTCATATATGCAAAGTATAGTGTTTGCATTCAGGAATTTACAATAATGAACAAGACATCATCTACCAGGGGTCCTCAAACTTTTTAAACAGGGGGCCTGTTCACTGTCCCTTAGACCATTGGAGGGCCAGACTATAGTTTTAAAAAAAACTATGAACAAATTCCTATGCACACTGCACATATCTTATTTTGAAGTAAAAAAACAAAACGGGAACAAATACAATATTTGTATTTGCATGTGGCCCACGGGCCGTAGTTTGAAGACCCCTGATACACCTTCCACATGTTCCATACATTAATCCAATTTCTAGATTACCCAACATTTACATTGAGCCTTATTATTTACAATCACTTCCATATACAGTACCTCATTCGATTGTCTTAACAACTTTGAATTAATTATTGTTAACTCATGTGATAGATAAGAAATGAAAAGACTGTTACTAGCCCAAGGTATTTCACTCAGTAAGTGGTTAAACTGGAACTTGAATTCAAGTCATCTAACTTGGGAGCTCTTATCATGTTTGCTGTAGAGTTACATAAATTAGTTGACATTAATAGGATGGAAATGTGTGACTAAGAAAGGTCATACTGCTTAATTTCAACTTGGATGATTTTGACAGTTTTCTTGGAAAAAATGGCATATATTGGTCAGACATGGGGGCAACAAGCACAACCATAAGCAAGAAGTACAGAAGGAGCAGAGAGCAAAAAAAAATTTTTTTGAAAGGCTTTATTCCTTGGGAGATGGATGACTTAGAGTTTAGGGGGTATTTGAAAGTGGGACTAGCCTACAATTCAAAGATAGATAAAGATTGAAAGAAATAAAATTATATATGTTTTTGAAAGTTAAGAGGAAGATTTTAGAGCAAGTTATAAAATGGGAAAATGATCTTATGGCTCAGTTTTGGCATTACTATTCCATGATGACTTTTCCTGCCTTCAATTAAAAAGTGTCCCCAAAGGAGTTGTACATGTGTGCCTCTACAGCAGAATCTAGAAGTATTGGCCAATTAATAAAACATTTTCATCAGCAAATATACATTCACCAGCATAAATATTCTGACTAGAACTACTAATTCAATACTGTATACTGTACCAGGTTACCAGTATAAAGTGAATACCTGGAGTGTAGATAATAAACATGTAAGAGAAGAAGGCCTATATATATTGGAGATATTTCATATATAGTAAGACAAACTGGGTAGTATGAGCTTTTGAGTATATTATGAACTACTTTGTTGAAAGACAAGGTTGGCTAACTGAGTGGCTAACATACAAATACTTGAGATGATTAGTTAGGTAGACAAATTTGAGGTGGTGCAGATCCAGGCAACAAACAAAAAATGGGCGGAGTTGAGTAAACGATTATCCAAAACACTGGCAGTTCTTTTTGGCTCACCCTTACTATTGTTAAGAAGTCACTTTAACTTTCAGAACTACACTCTCTCACCATTAAAACAAACAAACAAAAAAACAAACACTTAAGTTGTAAAATGAGTGTAAAGTTAAACTTTGACCTTGGAACACAGCTATCTTTCTTTGATACAAAGAACATTGAAAGGTACAGTGACCATCTTTTAATACAAAGTTGTCAGACTCTTTTCAGTCAATGTGTAGGTTGACTTTATGTACCTGTAGAAGTAGAGGATCAATAAAAGAGCTTTAAAATGGTGTAGAAAAAGTCCATCTGTAGCAGGATGTTCCTCAAGGTGGGTGGTGAAAGGTTTTAAGCATTACAGCAACAGCAGGGAATCATATTCGTAGATGGAATTCATCTTTTTTTAATATATTTTTTATTGATTTTTTACAGAGAGGAAGGAAGAGAGATAGATAGTTAGAAACATCGATGGGAGAGAAACATCGATCAGCTGCCTCCTGCACATCTCCCACTGGGGATGTGCCCTCAACCCAGGTACATGCCCTTGACCAGAATCGAACCTGGGACCTTTCAGTCCGCAGGCCGACGCTCTATCCACTGAAACAAACCAGTTTGGCAGAATTCATCTTTTTAAGTAGCATCAGAGTTATCTTTCAGCAAGGGCCCTCTTCCAAGGAGGAGACCAGTAGACATTCATGACTAGGGTGGTGCTCTGAGTGCATTCTCAATAAGAACCAATTATGAATAAATCTAGAAAACATCATTCAAAGAGTAATACTGTAGTTGATAAATTAAAAATATAAGCTTTTTGAGGAAAATAAGTATATTTTTTTGAGGAAGAGCCCAAGTGATTCAAA